GATATGTGCTAGTGCAATTAAAACACTGAATTCAGAGCCTAAGACATACAGCAGCCCAAAAATAAATGTTACGACAATAGTGCGCCCGTAGGCGACCCTACATAGGTGAAGGTCTGTCAGAATGCCGGGACGTCCCTGGGGAAAACCACCGAATCCGCTAAGCTACTAGAACCTGGAGGGGCGCAAAAACAAAAGCGTGAGTGGGCAAAATAAATCTCTTAGAAAAGCATTTCATAAAACATAAAATAACCCCTCGCCGTAAAACCTGTATACTTCCCAGAAAATAAACATATAAACGTAGGCATAAATATGCCAAGTATACTCAAGGGTATGCCAACATGCTCAAATGTATGCCGTCATGCTCAACGCCTCATAATAACATGCAAGTGCTCGGGTATGTATATCACATCAATATTATAATAAACTAGCAGCCGGAGTCCCCTAAGTGACCTGTACGGCTGAATCTAGAGCTCAGATCACAACTCAAACCCTAAACCTGCCCACGAGTCGGAACCACCTGTGGTGGTCTGTACGACAAGCCTGGGTGCAATACATATAAACGCTCTAGTGCTACGATCACGTGAAGGCTGTGCGAATAATCGCGGGTCACCTACGAGTCGGAACCACCTATAGTGGTCTGTACGACAGGACTGTGCACCTAACTTGGATTCAAGCTGAGCGTGTGGTGCGGGAGGTGAACAACACGTGAAGGACTGTGCCCTACTCTGGGCGGGAGCACTAACACCGGGGGTGCAGGTTATGAGCTCTCTAATCACCTCGAATCACTATTTAATGCGAATGTAAACAAAACTTACCTGACACTTACCTAAGCCGCCACAGCACCAACATATATGTAAACGACGTAGAATAAATATATAAATCAACTCATATGCCACTAATCATGCATAACCATCAATCATATGAAAATTAATAGCGTAAAACGAGGCATTTATATTAATTTCTGGGAAAAGACATGTATATAGGTATATACGGAAAACAAAAGCCCACTCACTGGTATGTAGAAGGGTCGTAGCCCCCCTGCCTCGAATGTGCACGCTCGTCCTCGGGATACGTGTCACCTATATGCGAATTAACTATAAAAACGTTAACTTTAGAGCACATAACCGTCCATTCAAAATAACTTCTCATACATTGCTCAAAATGGACAAATGAATATACCAACGTGACCTACACAACCTCACGATCACAACCATAATTTTAAAATAATTTTTGGACCGCGCACGCGCCCCCACGCGCGGTCACGTGTCACGCATGCTGACGGCGTCGAGTGACGCCGTCAGGAATATTCCCTGGAATATTCCGTTATCTTTGACTGACGCCGTTACTGTCCGTTAGGAATATTCCGTTAAATCCTAACGGAATATTCCCTGTCTTCTCCGGCCTACCCCCCTCGCCGGCGCCGTCGCCGGAAACCTGCAACTCGCCATATCTCACTCATTTTTCCACCTTTTTTCATGTTTCTTGCACCAAAATCAACCTTAAAGCTAGTAGAATAAGTTCCAACAAGTTTTAAGGCCTAAAATGTCGAGATTATACCTGCCCAAATCTTCAATTCTCGGCCAATTCCAACACCCACGATTCAGACGTCCAAACTCGCCCAACGAGCTATTCCCAAGTTCCTGGGAACCTCACAAACAACACTATGAGCTTCAAATGTCCAAAAACTCGATAAACTACTCTTGCATGAACAGTACTCAAATCGGCCATTTTCGAAACAACATGAAAACAAAGGGTTTCTCACCTGTAAAGGGTATGGCTGTGCTCGCCTCGACCTCACGAGCTCAATGGTGTAGCTGGTTTCCACGATCTGTTAGGATTGTGTGGGCTATGGGTTTGTCCGTACGCTTTCAAAAGGGAAGAAGGAGAAATGGAGCTCGGGGGAGAGAGAGAGGAAAGTCAGAGGGAGAGGGAGAGATGGCAAGTGTAAATGTGTGTGTGTGTGTGACCCCCACACCAGTCCACACCACACAAAACACCAAAAACATAATAGAACAAACTAGGGGTAAAATGGTCATTTCACACGTACGGTTCGATAGTTTCGGGACGGGATGTTACACTACACAATAAAGAACACAAAGTGTACCGAAATAATATTGAAAAACAATTAGCGTACTTAAATATATATTCTAAAATATATTGTGATGAATGAGTGATAAAATCTCAACCTTAGTAAGTGATGCCGAGTATACAATAAAATGTCATTCTTAGGAAATGAGGCCTTAACAATAAGAAATAATCACTTTAATCAACATTTAAGTAATAATTTAATCATTAACTTCCATATCATTTATTTTACAAATTCAATCTATGTCTTTCTATCTTCCTGATCAACGGCTTCACAAGGTAGGCTCATACCGAGTATGAGAATAATTGAGAATGCATTAGAATTGATCAACAACAGAATTCTTCCATAATTCAGGTTTCTATCACTAAATTCCTTAATTTCTAAATTGTATAATACACAAGTTTATTTATTTAAAAATTCTAATTTAAGTATTTAGATAAATTTCTATGATTTATGTTAAATTAATAAATATTTAGTCTAATTAATTAAGTTTGTTACTAGAATTGTTATGAGAAAATACAAATAAATAATATTTAGCATTTATGTTAAATTAACAATATTAAATATAACATAAACTTTTGTTTAATTTTTTATGAAATTGCTTCCTCTAAATTTTGATAGCTAATAACCTAACATATTAAATATTTGTGTGGTGGTGCCCATCCCCCTTTTACGTGGCCCAGTATCCCTCACCCCTAGAAGTCTATAAGCATGTAAGACTAAAACTCATATTTAACCATTTTCCTTTTCTATTAAGTTCACTATAAATTCAAAATCAATGAAAATATTTAGTAAGTGTTGTGGACTTGTAATAATATTAAGTAATATAGGAATATATTATGTTAAATTAATTTTTTTTGCACTACAAAACTTGAATTTAACAAACAATCAAGATTAGATGAGCATAATTTTGATAACTTTTTGTTGTTATTTTAATTTGCTTTTACTATAATAGGTGTTGGAAATTAAAAATTGCAATCGTGATAGAGTTCGAGGGTTGAAAGATAGAAATTGAAAATTCTAATACTTATGCCTACATGATAGGGTTTGAAAGATTGTAGGGATCTGTAAAGTGGTAAAACATGAACAAGAGTTGGTTGACGATACCACGAAATTTGGAAGCGTATACAGCTAGAATTAATTTGTTTTTGGATCAAGCGGTTGCAAATGGTGTTGGCCCCAAACATAGCCACATTCTAGTTACGTTAAATTTCTAAACAGGACAAATATCTAAATTTTGTAGCTTGTAATTTAAGTAGTGAACATCATTTGCATTTGAACTGCACTTAGATCCTTTGATTCCCCCTCCCTCAATGTAACCATGGGCGTAGAATAATTATCTTCCATCTCAGAAAACATACTGGTAGATCTAGAAGTTAAAATTCATGGGGAAAATACGTAGCATTTTCGGAGGCCGGCAAGTTCACCAGCCTTACTGGTTCCGATGGAGGGAGGGAGGGAGGGAAAGTGGAGGAAAAGGAAGGAGAGAGAAAAAAAGGAAAGAGAAGTAAAAGAGTTTTGAGGGTCCAATTTTAAAATGAGTAAAAGCTCATTTAAAAAAAATGTTTTAGGGTTTCAAAAGCACTTTAAATATTTTTCCAGGATTTATTAAGAATTTAACTAAGGATTGTTTATAAAAATATTTTTACCAAAAGTGTTTTCAGGTATTTTAAAAGCACATCCGAACCAAGTGCCAGCATACTTTGGAGGTCCAAAAGATATATTCTAAATGCCAGCAAACCAAAGAACATAAGATAAGATGAACACTCAAAATTTACAGTTGCATACATGTCATGAACAAACTTAAATTATAAATGACAATCACGGAATCCGGTGAACGAAGAGTAATCATACCTCGGCCAGAAATATGCGCAGAATGGAGTAAACAGGTAAAGAAATTAGATAACAAAGGCTCCAACAAGCACAATTGTGAAGTCAGGATATCCTAAACAAAAGCATAGTACTGTTACATGATTTTTCATACACAGCAGTCTGGGAAGAACGATCCTTGTAGGCCTCTTGCTGATTAGAAGTGCGGTTGGAGGTCATCGGTGAAGAGGGTTGAGACTCGCAAGAAAATCCCGATCAAATCCCTAGCCTAGCTTAAACCCATCATCTCAGATGGAAAATAACAGATATACATACCACAAAGGAAATGTAACACCATATACAGTTATCTACTAAAATCGAAACCCCTAATCAAGTAAAATAAAATCACGTCTCAACGTCGCGTTCATGATTGATAGCAAGATAATCTGGTAAAAAAACGCCACCCTAAACTTACCGTACACAGGTAATTTCTTGTGTCTTACTCTCTACAGTCTTTGATTGAGAGTCTAAGAACAACACAAGATATATCTGCGTGATTACTGTATACATTTATATAATTTCAAACTCGTTCTGTAGCACAACCGAAAACAAGTATAAATTCCTTGTAACTGCATTTCTTTTCTCCTTTATATGCTCTCTCCAAATAGGCAATCAAAGATATGACAAATCACAACTTTTCACAGCACCAGATATCGATCACCGCCGCTCAAAAAGTTTACTAAACTATGAATCAGAGTTCCAAATTCCATCAGACATTGATACAACCCTGAAAGATCAGCATATCAAACTACTGATAACACCAAATCATAAAAGTCCTAATATCCAGAAATATAACGAAACACATATGAACTGGATGAACGATGTCGAATTCCAGGAAGTAACTTGGCAGATGGCAGTGATCACTCACAAAGATTATCACACCAATTGCAACTGAGTGAATAAATTCACAACAAAATGGGAATCCAAACACAAAGGCCAAATCCTCATTCCATTTAGTATAGATCATCACATCATCAACACATCCACAAATTTAGGAAAAAAAACACATATACATGTACACTAGATATTATTAAATCCAAAGAAATTCAAGAGTAAATAATTAAGACATAAATAAATCCAATCTCAATACATTTCATCAGTCATCGCAACCTTTGCGATGATAGCACAATACTAAATATTTACATTAGCATTTGGGAGGGCAGAAACACCTCGCCCCACTGTATATTACAATCAGACATACCCATACCAATTTGCATTTCGATAATAAACCCTGTTATTCAAAATGCAGTTCAAAGAGTGAATGAACATCCATTCCCCACAGACGCACAATCAAGCAACAAAAAAGAAACCACAAATCATGAAACATTACCATCAACTATTCTCGAGTATTTATTCATGAACAGAGGAGCGTCTAGATTATGGGGTAAACTGGCATTTGACAATTTAAGAACTGCAATCGGGACACCGAATCAAACCGTTTTCATTGCATTCGGAGCACCTCTTCAGCATTCCTTCATCTTCATCGAACACCTTCCTACTCCCACTGCAATTCACGCAGGGCAAGAACCGTGCATCCCCACAACCTTCGCACACATACCCGGGTTTCCGAGTGGGAATCCCTTGAAGAATTTTTGCCAATTCACCGGTTTCAAACAGCTGTTTGATCACCTCAGCACCTCCCACATACTTTCCCCTTATAAATACTTGTGGCAAACTCACATTCTTCTCACCCAAAACGCTCTGCAACTCTTTTCGATAAGCCGAATCCATTGATATGTCTCTCTCATCGACCCAAACCCCAAACCCTCTGAATATCATCCTCACAGCATAACAATCTTCATATGTCCTCCGAATTCCTCTCAAACTCGTGAAATACACCACAATCCGATCATCGGTGCCCGGCAGCCAAATTGACAGGATCCGGAAATCGGGCGCCATGGATTTTGGCATGGCCATTGATTTCGACGGTCTTAGCTTGACCGTCAGGGATTGCGATTCATCGGGGTTTCGAGACACGGGTTTCTCCGATTCGAAGAAATTGCAGAGCTTCTTGACCTTCCCTTTGAAGGAGCTGCTGGCGGACCGCACCGTCTCGATTGAATTGTAGAATTTCTTGAAAGAATTGGTGTGGTGATCGATGGAGGCCTGCAAATGGGGCTTTTTGGGGGCATCCACGGTGGTTGGGTACATGGTAAGCGATCGATTGAAGAAGTAGGTGGGTTTGGGCTTACCCGCCAATTCGACCCTATTTTCGAGTTCCGCCATCGACCCAGATGAAAAATCACCGGAAATTTGAATTCTTTGATATCTTTCGGGGGGTTTTGCAACGCTAGGGTTTGAATTCGAATTCGAATTCAAAATCGATAAAGAAATGGACAGAACTGACCGTACAAATTAGGGCTAATCAGAAATGTCGAAGAATGAATTGTTTCTTTTCTAGCAATCGGAGAATAAATGGGTTGATCGGAAAAAAGAAGATGACCGTCGGATTGCGGTGGTGGAAAAAGAGGAGTGATGGTGGCGATTGGGAGATAATGGGCAGGTAGAAGAAGATGAGGGAAATGGGGGTTTGTTGGGATGTGTTGACAAAAGCGAGTGTTTTCTCGTTTTTGTTTTTGATTCTGTTGTGTTTGTTTGTGACAGAGAAAATGGCTTTTAAAACGGAGGCTTGTTTGCAAAGCTAGGTGCTGCTGTATCTTGTATTATTTTCTTACCCATCTTATATTTTTTAATTTTCATTCACCGTAAAATAATTTGAAAGATAATTACTATCTTCTCATGTATTTCCTTAAATATCTTTAATAATCTTAATTTTTAAAATAAAATAAGTTTAAAGAACGACTAATTTTTAAAAGTTTAAGAAAATTAAACACATACAAACATTCTCGCTCAATTCAGATTAAAAAACTACAATTATACTCCAAACGTGACAACGACAACTCATTCTCTTTGAAAGTTACTTTTTTCTTCTCCTTTCTCTAATAATGTAGGCTTGAATATCCGTTAATTGAAAAAAAATATATAAAAAAAAAACTCTCCAAATTCGGTTCATTTACAAAATTATCATCTACGTCATTTTTTTTTTTTTTTTTTTTGGGGGGAAGTGGATGTCATTTTCTGTTCAGAGAGAGAAACATTGTGCTTTACTTGAATTTTAGGCTTGGACTTTTGAAAAAGTAGCGCTGATTGCTGACGTTCGGCCCCACCGTCCTGTTTTGATTAAAAGACACGATTAACTATCACAAAGTCGCAGGTAAGTTTTGAATTTTTAGGGTAGTTTCATTTTTTTCACCTGCTAAGAATCACAGTATTATTAAAAGAGATATTATATACTAATTTATATTAAACCGAACGAGCGCAATGAATTTAAAAGAAGAACAATGATTAACTATTTAAAGGATGGGTAGGAGTTCATGTTTAAAATTTTACGTTACTGATTTATAGAAATTTATGTTAATGATAAGAACTGTTCATATTACAAACCTCTTTATAAAGATCACTTTTGCAAAAAAATCAATTAAAACTAATGTCGTTTAGTCATCTAACTGTATAAAATAGATAAACGAATTGATAAAAATATTACAAACTACATATTTGCTAACAATAGATTGACTTTTAATTCGATTTTTACAGAGTTGATCTTTACAAATGATTCATAATATGAATACTTCTAATCATAAGCGCGAAACTCTATGATTTTCTACTCATCCTTGAGTAGTCAAACATTGTTCTTCAAAGAAAAACCTTAACAATGAGGTAATTCGATACTTGTCAGAATTTTTAATTTTCTTTTCAATAAGCATGTGAATTTAAACATTGTTGTATGCGTGTATCTTATGCTCTTGTGTCATTCTTGTTATGTTTCTCCTGCAATTTTAAATTTGTGAAACAAAAACTGACAAATTCCAAGATATGTTAATTTATTGGTTATCATTTATTCTTTGGGTTATATTATTATGTGTTAAGTCTTACTCTGTTGTTTAATAGTTTATATAATTATTGTTTTATGCAAATCATGTGTGAGCACGCATTTTCTTTTTTTATTTATGAAAATATATTTTATTCAAGAAAAATGTTAAGAGCATATCCAAAGAAGATGTCAAATTCTAAGTGGGATTTTCTATAGACTTTATGCCACATCATTTTTTTGGCACAATATTTTATAATGTTAACACGATAATTGATATTAAACTGTGAGGTAACATTGACAAAGAGTCCATGAAGACTCCCACTTTTTCCCTCTATGATCAATTCAATGGATAACCAAAGTGGTTTATCCAAACCAAAACAACAATTCAATAACATAACATAAAAGTATGTGATTTTTGCTTACCACAGTCAATGTGCTTCCATTTCGTTCTTAATTTTGAATCTCCCGTTTAGGCATTTACATCAATGTAATTAAAATATTGTTGTATGAAAAATGGAGGTTATAATTTTAAAAATAATGGTATTCTATGAAAATGAATATTGAATTAACAATATATACAACCATTATGATTTTGGATCCCTTGTTGTTTGCTTTTCTAGAAAATAATTTTGCTAATTTGGTTGAAAAGTACTTTCATGAGAAAGAATCAATGCTTAATACGAAAAAAAAAAACTTGGTAGTGCTTTGATTTCTAATTTATAATGACTCGTTTGGACGTGATTTTAAAATGATTAAAAACGATTTAAAAAAAAAAAAATTATTTCCAAAAGCACCAGTTATGTGGTTTTCCAGAATTTACTAAAATTTTTACTAAGGATTGTTTCCAAAAATATTTTCATCAAAAGCTTTTTCAATTATTTTAAAAACACATTCAAACGAGTCATAAGTATTTTTAAATTTCTTATCAAGCGTAATTAAAAAAGCCTATAATTGTTTGAAACAACTTTTAACTTTTCAAAAAATAGTCCTAATGATGCCATTGATTAAATCCATGAAAAAGAAACATTGTGATGAAGAATTTAATGGGCTCGCTCCAATCTTCTATCACAAGAAATGCTTACAAAAACTATTTTAAAATGGAATTTTTTATAAATTTTTTGTCGTCTTACTGTTTAATGTTATTTTTTCTGCAATATTATAAAATATTATACAAAATATGTAAGATAACGAGTTCATGAAGAGTCTCACTTTTAAAAAAGTCTCATTAACATTTCTCCTTCTATCACTTTATTCACTTTTTATTGTTGAGGTGGGGAATGGTGGACTCAAGCTGTGACCAGTCCTCATAAACTGAATTGAGTCCAATGTTTTGTGATCATGAAGATCTTTTTTTTTTTTTTTCTTTTTTTGGTGAAGAGATAATGAAGATCTTTCATCAACAAATACAGCTGAAATGAATTGTAATCTTAACAATTTATCTCCATATAAGAAAATATAAGTCCAGCTATCTAACTCTTCACTTCAGTCCTGAGATTGTCCCCCTTGAACTATTTTGATCCTTATGTGAAAATTTTCGTTAAATTGAATCAACCACCAGTTTAAAGAAGGGGTTGATTTGACAAAAATATTTTCAATTTAACGAATATTTCAAAATAACCACAATTATTGACAATGGACGAAAATTGTTCGTGGCTTCTTTCTCTTGGTGGTGGTGGCGGATCCATGATGACGGCGCATCTACTGTCGTGGAAGCATTTGTTTTCCAATTTTAGAGTTTTTGTTGTTGGACAGTCCTGAGATTGTCCCCCTTCAACCATTTTGGTACTTATGTGAAAAATCTTCGTTAAATTGAATCAACCATCATTTTAAATGAGGGATTGATTTGACAAAAATATTTTCAATTTAATGAATATTTCAAAATAACCAAAATTATTGACAATAGAAGAAAATTATTCGTGGGTTCTTTTTTCTTGGCGGTGATGACGGATCTACTGTGGTGGAAGCATTTGTCTTCCAATTTTAGAGTTTTTGTTGTTGGACTTGCTCATATAATCAAGGAAGGCATCGGGCCTTAAGCTTTTAGCTTATTGTAATATATATAGTCCACATGGATTTTGCAAAGCCACTTTGTCTTGTTATGAGATAGCCCATATTAGTTTGTTATGATCATTGTGCGGTAAAAATCATGTGAATGTAAGAGCTTCATCATTTTGGACACAAAATAAAGATAAAGATATGTGAAGACCTAGGGCATCATGGAGCACCATATAACAAAGAGTATGGGCAAAGGAGAAAACCCAGCCTCTTTACGAATAAATATTCTCAGGGCTTGTTTGGTTGACTAGTTAGAATATATTGTAACCAATTAATAAATTTGAGTCCAGTCTATTGTTTATTGTGTCTAAATGTGAGATAGACAAGACTAGACATGATGAGTTATGAATCTACAATAAAGTGGGTTATCTAACCTAACCTTGTATATAAGTTGCAAGTCTCATCTTACATGTCTTAAATAATCAAATCCTATCCCTAAGGCTCAATCTCATTTAGCTCGCCGAATGAGCCCTCAAAGTCTCTCAAAGAGCAAACTTCTACAAAGAAAGCAAGTTTTTTTTCAAAGCATTTCAAAGAGAGAAGTATCATTCCTTCTCCAAATCTCTCTCATATAAAATAGTTTTGGTGAAGTACCATACCTTCTCCAAGATCTCTAAAAAACAAAGCAAGTATTCATTGGCAAAGCTCTTGATTTTATTTGCTCTCTCTTTGTACGTAGTTTTCCACTTATAAAAGCTACGAAGTATTTCATTGCAAATTCCTCCCCTCGTGTAATATCTATTAAGTATTTCAATACAAATTCATCTCTTTGAATCATTTTCATTTTGTGAGTTAGTTTTCTACTTAGAGCATCTCCAAATGATGTGTCAAATTTTAAACATCAAAATGATATTTAATAACTTATGTGGCAATTTAACATTTTATATAATATTTTGCTTCATTCGATATGTTAAATAATAATGTTATTTATTAATTTTTAAATCTTTTGTGGGGTTCAATGATTGACACAACCAATCAAAAACTTGAAAAACACAACAACATTTATTATATATTATATTATTCTATTAAAAAACTATTTAATAAATTTTACATTTGCTGTCAAATTTGACAGCAAAAGGCTTTGTCTTCAATTGACTCAGTGTCACGTAAGAAATTGAAGGCTCGGTTGGAGAGAGTTTGCTGTCATTTTTTACTGTTATATGCCTAAGTGGCTGTTTTGACATCTCCTTTAAAGATGCTCTTACAAAAAAAAAAAAAAATTAAAGTCCTTAGCATTCAAGGCAAAAAGAAGTAAAGAACTAAAAGTTGAGCCTCGCCACTCAAGTAGGCTATCATTTGATTAAGAGTTAAGTAGGTTCGATCCTCCATTATCTTAAACTCATCTATTAGTGGCCTCTATTAGTAGAGAAATATTTTAGCGTGTCTGAAACACGAGCACGTACATCATACGTTATTATGCAAGTTAATGGATACTTAAAAAAGAAACTTTTCTCCACTTATATAATAATAACATATGACTGATATTAGCAGCTCAATGAGCTAACCCTTCTCTCCTCGTCGGAATACTGGGATTTTTGAACCGCCCGAACATGGTACTGCTGATATACTCTACCCCTATTTG